GTTAACAAATTTCTCAATAATATGTAGTTGTATGGCAGTAGCAAATTTCTGAATAATAGTTGCGTGGTGGAAGAAAAAGAAAATGAAGAATGACAAAATTACGTTGGTGGTTTCATTTTCAAGTTATTAACAATCAACATGTCAGAAACGTCAGCAACTAGGCAATCTGTGTACAAACGAAGGACACGACAGTCATACGGGCGTCCTCTGAAAAAATACGCCCTTACTTCTTATTGTTAGCAGAATATGAAATATGTACCTTTTCCTCGATATAATCCCAACATCTGAAAGTCATTCGCGGCCATTGGCGGCTCCACTGAAAAGTAGGTAGTTCTATACCCACTGTTTACACATTTTTATTATTTTCCTATCCTTTGCGTGAGATTCAAGTACTTAACGTTCCCTTAGTTCTGTGACAATCGACAAAGCGAACACATCTAATCGGCGCGAAATAGCTCTCGAATTGTTATAGTGTATCACTTTAATTTATTTATTACAGTGAGTTTCAGTTTAGTTTGAGTTAATTTATTTAATGTATATTCTGTTTGTATGTGCTGTGGTTTGCTTTGTGGTTTAATATTGTACAACGATTCGTCTGTGCTTTTTCACGACGTGTGTAAAAAGATAATCCAATCTTGAGTGCAGGTCTTACGCACCACTTTCTCGATATTCACTTCAACTACACTGTAATTGAATTTTTATTACTTAATAACTTGACAACGAAGCTTCCAACACAATTTCGTCATTCTAAATATTCGTTTCCTTTTCATACATTGAATCATCCCTTAAAACCTAGGTGTCCCAACATGGACATTACAATCCACCGGTGGGCACTGAGATCTGGAGGGACATTGTACTTATTTTATTTTCTTTATTCTCTATCCAATTTTTTAAGATTCAAAGATTATACGCACAATTACACTTGGAACTTGTAATAATTGAGATAGTTTACTCAAAGGGGGCGTTAGACAAAAAGAAATTCAAAAAAGGGGCAGTGAACCACAGAAAAGTTAGGATACTATGCCTGAAAGTTTCTGAGACAAATGACCGAACACCCTGTATAGCGTCAACAGGGAAAGGGTTAAACTGTCAAGTATCATCGAAACGGAGTCTGTTCGGTGTTCTGTAGGAAGGACAGGCGACAAGGAAGAGTGACACGTCACACGGTTAGGATAATAGCTTGGCGGCAGGTCGGATGGTCGCGGAATTGTTGGGATGTGCGACAATTATCGGTACGGCATTGCCATATCTCACGCATGCCAGGACGGATTGCGTCGGTAGGTACTGTGTACGCACGCTTCTATACGTCCCCGTGTGAACTCGTGTCACAGCCCCGAGCGAAGTGTGCTGCAACGTTACATTCCTTGCCGGTGTTCCGTTTTTAGTCTAGGAACGCCATTCTTTGCGACACGCGCTAAAGGGGGCTACCGCTCCGTGCCACTGCGTTCACCGGCCACCTCTGTTTTCTGAGGATCGCATTCCGATCGTCGATGCCTTCTTGGCTCCGCCGATACGCCCGAGTTTGATCCCCGATCCCGATACCTCGTCGATACCCCCAACCTTCATTCGTTCTGTTCTCGTTTGTTCTTTTGTAATTTTTTGGAAACTGGGTTTTGGTTACCTGCAACGTGTCTGCAACGGTCTCTCAATGTATTCGAGGTGCAGTGGAATTTCCCTTGAGGAGGTACATCAGCTTGTAGGCCTAACAACGTTGGTGAATGTAACATTTGTTTTTTATTCACGTAATTATTAAGTGACATATTGGGATCTTTTTAGGGAATGTTACGCGACATTTTAATTGCATTTTCGTTTATTAGTTGTTATTTAAAATTAAGCGAGTTATACAACGTTGATATTTAAATTTGTTGCATTTTTATGAATTTTGGAAGTCGGTTTTTTTTTAAAATAATTTTTTCTTTATGAAGCTGCGATTTCTCTCCTTTTTAAAATTGCTCAAAAATCATACGCTACACAGTAGGTAATTTTATAAAACATAATGTCTCTAATTATGAAGTTGATTAAGCGTAGTTAATGTTGTATAATTCCGCCATTTTGTAATGTCGAATAGTAACTAATGTATCAAAATAGAAAATAAAGTTCAAATGTTGCCCAACATCCTTTAGAAAGATCCGAATATATTACTCTATAATTACCTAAGAAAACTATTTGTAACTTATTTATATCTTTTAGGCCTACAAGGTGTATCCCCTTAACCGAACTTCTGTCTTCAGATGAGCCAACTATTCAAAAACTTTCTTATACAACGTTCTATTATGCTCATTGTCTATGTTTTTATGTACATTATACCCAGTATATGTATTATACACAATTCGAAATAAGTCGACGAGTGAAATTATGTACATATTTACAGGAAATCTTAACTCACCTATGAGGTGATTTGTATTGTATCACATCCATGTAGGTATAATAGAAAAACACGTTGACATTGTAAAGATAAAAATTCTTTAATAGATTAATCATAATGGAAAAGCAAGCTGTTATTGCAAATAATTTTTGCTGTAATCTATTACTGTAAGCATTTTGATAGATTAATATACATTTTTGTTCACCTAAAAAAACAGTGATCTCGGTAAACATTAGGAATTAATTAAAAAAATTTTCTAATTAAGTTCAACAGAAAAAAATGACAGAAATTCCTTATATCATGACAGTTTTGGATTTTATGTTCAGTTACTTTTACATAACGTCGCGTTTGTTTGGACAAATACGTTTTTACAGAAAATGTGGACGAATGAAAAATTGTGTTATCTTAGATTGCAAACTTATTGAATTATCCAAGGCGGCGATGGGCCAATCACTGATTCTTGTTGACAGATTAGTGGTATTGTATGGTAATGAGGGTGGTCAGATATCTACCTTCAAATCTCTGAATGTTTTAAGTTACGTCTTAAATTCGAGCCTGCGAGTTTCAGTCTGAAACAATTCTACGCAGAAGCATTTTTGTCGTTCCTGGTAAATTTATGAAGTTCGAGTACATACCTGCCACTTTGCTACCTGTTTGGTAGCAAATTTCCGAATGTTGAGAATCCCTATGCGAAACAAAGAGTTGATTACTTGATGAACTACTTACCTACCAATAACCCACATATTAGTTTAATACATTTATTAAATAAAATATGTTTTCCAATGACTAGAACACTACAAAAATGATTATTATTACACAGTAAAACGTGTAATGTGCAAAACACAATGTGGAACGAAGAAAATACTTTTACTACATATTTAGGAATTAAAGTAACACATTTATTGTATTTACATTACAAATCTAAATAAATTAAGGTGGGTAAACAGAATATTAGAATCACCTGCATAAATTGACGATTTTGCGATTTTAATTGTATGTATATAATTACATAAGCTGAGTTTACTTTTACGTGTACTATTAGTGGACACTTGGTAATTACACATTATCCGGTATCAAAACCTTGATATTCTGATTTTATTTCTACGTAAACACAAAAACGAACATATTCTTTATACTGCAACTCCAGTAATTTGACCACCCACTGTGTAACTACATTTCAGCAAATAATGAAGCTGGTTACTTTACGCAGCAAAATCTTAAACTATTATCCTCCATAAATTCAAAGAACGCGGGCTATAGTTCAATTCACACCAGGCTCGACCCATCGAGTTTCCGTTTCTTCTCGAAAACTACCAACTGAAATTTTCCACCCGGTGAAATAATTCCAATGCACAAAGCCTCAAAGTGATCGCATCTGCTACGGGGCTCGATTCCGCGGATTCCGTGGCGGCGGTAAAAGCGGCGCAGCTCGTTCGCTCTCGTGACTTCCAATCGCCGGTTTCTTAAGCCGTTGCCGGAGCGGTTTCCAGAACTCAATTTAATAAGAGTCCTCGCTGCATTCATACGAACCCGCGCGTCCTCGATATACAACTTGCATCGGGACTAATGCAATACCGTGCTACGACAGAAGAAGAAGAAAAAAAAAACACGTGCACACATACACACAGAACGGGAATTACCGATGTCTGGCCGCGCAGGATAGAGAGGTCTCTGGTAGCTATGCGGAGGAAAACTTCTGTAGGTTGTGAAGTCACCCGATCGCGGCCGTCCGGTAGCCCGTTCAATATTAATCGAATCACGGCCACCGTGCAAAAGGATCGCATTCTCGCCGGCTATCGGACTACGTAACGAATGACAGGTATTTAAGTGTCGCGGCGGTTGCCGGGAGAATTATTTTCGAAAGGGGATCGCGCTCTTTCTTTCGATGCGTCACGATTGTTGGCAATCAATCGACCTGCTTCTATCTGGCACGCGTGATTATCTTTCGACCTTGTTTTCGTGACACTGACTGCGTGGATCCTCTTTTGTCTTTGAACCAACCGTTACTTGTTAAAGGACTTACGGGGTCTGTTAAAAAAATAACCGAACTTTTGTAATTACGCGGCAATGGATCGTCATAGCGACGAACGGGTCACAGTACTTCAATTGTCATAATCTTCCGCGTAACATGCGTTTTACACATTCTTTATATCTCCTTTAGTTCCCGAGTTATTGTTACTTGAGGGCAAGGTGTTTCAGTGTACGCTGCGATTGTCGCAATGTCTGATTTACGAGAGCAACGATGCAACGTGAAATTTTGCGTGAAACTGGGGAAAATATTCACGGAAACGTTTGAACTTTTGAAGCAAACTTACGGAGGTGATGCTTTTTCTCGTACGCAGTGTTACGAATGGTTTACCAGATTTGAAAATGGTCATCAAGATTTCAAAAAGGACACTCTGTAAAGGTGATGCTCACGGTTTTTTTCGATTTCAACGGAGTTGTGCATTTTGAATTTTTGCCTCAAGGTCAAACAATCAACCGCCAGTACTACGAAGGCGTTTTGAAAAGGTTGCGTGAAAAAATTTGCAAAAAGAGACCACAGTTGTGGCGAGACAACTCATGGTTCCTTCACCATGACAACGCGCCTGCGCACTCAGCCTTGTTAATTCGCCAGTTTTCTGCCAAAACTCAGATGACTGTCCTCTCCCAGCCTTCCTACTACCCAGACCTTGCTCCCTGCGATTTCTTCTTGTTTCCAAAATTAAAATCAATGCTGAATGGCATTAAGAACAATTCGTCACTGGCATTGAAGGATATTCCTAAAGAAGCTTTACCAGGACTGCATGGTAAAGTGGAAACACCGCTGGAACAAGTTCGTGGATAAAGGAGGGGAGTACTTTGAAGGAGACAAAGACCAATAAGCTGTATATTAAACAAAAAAAATTAAACAGAAAAAGTTCGGTTATTTTTTTAACTTTTTCTTCGGCTCCTAGGTTTCATCGTGCAGGCTATAATATGTGTAAAGGGGAATCGGCGTATCGGGGTTAAAATTGATTTGCATCGATGCATCAGAATATCGTTCTGGCTAGTGAGCAAGACCCGATTCTGATGCAGGGTTCAAATTGTTCATCTATTCATTCTCTGGGAAATTTTATGCAGTAAATGTCGAATAGCACACTCCTCTGTATGTTAATAATTTTTAAAATCACTTAGTTCGTTTGTTTTCCATCCTTCTCGTAGCGTAGGAATTAGAAAATTTGTTTTCCTCAATTAACCATCATTTTGTCCATTTCCTTTCAGTCTTTAATTTTGTATGCTTTATGATCGATATACATCGCATTGTTGATAATAACACAGGTGTTGAAAAATAGTCAGACATTTATAAATATGTGTTTCAACGTTGCCATCAGATCACACACTATTAAAGAATCATTCGCATTAGATCGCAAACCGTCAAAGAATCAGTAATACGCAGGTGAAATGAAACTGAAGGAGTTTCATGAAACCAAGGAGTCGATGCGTGCACCGCAACTTGTTGAAGTGTGTGTAGGCCGCTTTAGTTTCTCGTTAGATAAAGTGGAATGTTGCACCCATAGATAGTTAGGGCAGTTTAAACTATATCGTAATTTCCCTGCTAGTGATTTGGTAACTTGTGCTAATTAGTGCCAAATATCTTGTGATCGATGTTTCTGAAGCTACATGTGGAATATTCGAATCTGAACGACACTTTTTCTGTACACAGAATAGAAGAATGATTATTACAGGAATAAAAATAGCATGTTACAGATACATCCTGTATACATAAAAGAACTTTTCGTTTAACTCAAAGCTTCTTATGCGTATATTAAATATTTCTTGTACGACTTATATGGCTGATTTATATTACATACTAGTATAAACATATATTCTGTAACTTACTATGAATATTAGAACCGTTTCTTTCGGAATATTTATAAGTTCGCTTGCAAATATTAGTTTGATGACATTACATTTCTTATAACCCACAGTGGTACTGTATATTCTGTATAGATTTATAGACTAGTTTGTTCATTTCATTGCCACTGAAATATCAAATCAAGTAGGTATCTGTTATTCGACAAATTGTGCATCGTAATGACTTCAGCAATACAACGAAGGCCGAAATGATTTTGATCTCCTGTTTTATAGCGCCCTTTTTGCATTACTTTAAACAGTAGACAGATGCAAACATATAACTAATCTTCTGTTTTCTAGTTGTAATCAATCTTGATACTCGTATGTATTGGTAAGTGCAAGTTGAAAACACTCTAGTAAACTAAACAATCTGCCATGATAACAATATATTCATATTGAATTACAATTTAACATTCCGGAATGAATATACTTTTTTAGTGCCAAAGATTCTTAATTATTTGCGAAGAACCAAAACATAATATAATATACACAGTTGTACTAAATTTTACCCTTCGTATGTGTCTATTAGAATAGGAGTTGCAGTGTAAAACCAATTTTACTTTTAAGTTATTCCTAACCCTCGTGTAACCAACCAAAATATTCACGGTTATTGAGCAACTGGAATACTCCTATTTTGACAGATTAGATAAACATAGATAATTTTACTTTCATACTTTTCCGAAACTCCTAGTTTTCCCTTCCTATAATATACCAAGTGCTGTTTTAGACAAGTACATACAAAATTATGAAAGGTAATTTAGAAATGGGTACCTGGGTACCCAGAGTACCCGGTTGCCTATACAAGGGTTAAAGGGGAGGCTTCTGTATGATCGAAGGGAATTAACGAAAAGACATACTCGCGTATTCTTCCGCGTGGTTGCACCGCGCAGCACGTTTTTACAGATTTTAAACTGTTCACGCACGATGGGCAGAAAACTGAAGGAATCGTGGTAAAACGGTGTAGCGGGGCAAAGATTCTAGAAAACGACGCGCGTCAGCCCAGTGAGGACATTCGTCGGATTCCGAGAGTAGTTCACCCGCTGTTCGATGCAATGAAACGTCGAACAGGAATTCATATGTCGCACACTAGTCATAAGGAAATGAAAGGTCTCGCGTGTCACCGTGCATTCGTCGACTGATCGACGAATAAGGAAACAATTAAGCAACTTGTGAAACTCGTACGCACACGTAAATCTTAGATTTGAAGTCGTTCATGCGTCGATGCTGTATTAGTTTATTGAATTGAGTTGTTCGAGCTTACTAGAATTTAATATGTACATTATAAAATCGATACAAGTCAACGAATAGTAATGATAATTAATGTATAATATTTTCCTACGAGTAACGCAATTATTTATTTTCATGCAGTGATAATATATTTAAAATTCAAGTTTCTTCCTCAATCACTTATTTTTTATTTAATTTGTTCAGTGAAGGAGTAAGACATGCGAGAAATATTTAATACAATTGAATTAGACAAAAGCTGGTGAATTACTGATTGCTACGTCTAATAAATAATCTTAATTGAGCGAAGTAAAGGAATTAATTGAAAAAGTAGTACTTGAAATGGACTTTAACGAAATTTTCATGGCAACAGTTTTGAATACTGTGGAATGTCTCGAAGCGAAACTCAGTTGTGCTATTTTTTACTTTATGTATATGTTGCTTATGAAGGCAGAGTTTCTTTTATTTGACCATTTTAGTGACTCCGGTCCAGGCGCCGAGATTAGTCAAGCTAATAGTATCTTTTGCAGAGCGTGAAAATCCAATGGTTCCGCTGTCAGACCCTCCCGGACCCCGTCTAAATAACCAAGACGAATTGGAAATTCGGCATTGGTATTCTGAGATCGTATAAAGATACTTCGGAATAGAGTAATTGTTTTTCACTGTGAAAATGATCTTGATAATATCGTCTACTATTGAAAACTTTATTGAGCCTTTACAGTAAGATCTATTTTTGAGAAAATAAAAACGCTGTATTGGTATTTACGAAATTTTTCAATAGAATCTAAATGAAAATTCACAAACTATTTTTTTAATAATGAAACACTTACTATTAATACTCTACGTTTAAAATACATACACAAAGAAGGTACAGTTGAAAAGTGGCTTTGCAATTGTGTAAACAATAATCGAATCTTTTGAAACTTTGTGTATTTATTAAGACATTATTCAATCATTCATTAGCGTTTTTGTATAGATTCAAACGTATAATTTTCCACCTGGCATGTCCACACATGCAATTTTCATCCAAACATTTTGATAAATTTTATGCCAGTGGTTGGAGGATAAACCTAACTTAAAAATTGTAGAATGAAAATTACAAAGATAATAGTAATTTGAAAATTATGCATCAAAATCCTGATTTTTTGTACTTCACACTAACAAATAAAATTTATCGTTTGTCTTAATTATATAGGTTTATCCTTCAGTAATATGGATCTGCTATAAGTAGGCAAAGTATCAAGTCGATCGAGGTTAATTATTTCTTCAGTTATCTATCACGTCAATGTGACAAACATGATTTTGAGAAAAACGCGTTTAAAGTTTGAGAAGTATTATACAGTCTATCTCACATTTTATAACCCGCCCACAAAACAACATTTATTTCCAATCAAACCAAGGGTATCTCGTATTTTCACTTTAATCCAATATGACAAGAACATCTTAGGAAAAACATTTCTTTTTGTTTACAATCGATGTAGGTCATTTCACATTTATAACGAATCTAGAAATTTCGAATTATTTCTACCATATAAATAAACATCCCACCAAATATTTATAATCGTAGTACATTGTAGGTACATTATATGCTGTAATTTTTCTACAAATTACTCTTAAACACTGTTAATCGGACATAAATGCTAATTTCTAGGTGGATTATAAATATAAAACACAATACAGTACAATTATATTCCATGAACCATTCACTTCAAAGACACATACCATAATCATTTCCAGAGATTTGAAAAATCCATTTTAGAGATATATTTCCAAAACTATAACGCACTAAAGAACGCGAAAAACAATTTTCGATTTTCGTTTTCACCATCGCACTGGTCCGACCTCATAAAAAATAAAACCAGAAATATCACCAACTATCCACAATTTACTATACATATCCACGTGAACCACATTTCATTGCAGTTCCGTAACACAGTTTCGTAAACCCGGCCACGTTATTGTAGCATAATCCATACGTTACACCGTCACAGCTTCATCGTGCAGGAACGAGGCGCAGCTCCCGCCGCCGACAGTCGACCGACAAACGGAAGAACAAGTCCCCCCGATAAAGTGCATTAAGTTATGCATCTCGGTTATGGCTGGCAGCGCGTTACGCGCCGCGGATGTAAAGAGCGGCTTTTTATTGGACAACTATTGGCCGGCGCGAACTTTCAATGAGCCGGGAGACGGGTACATAGTAATAAGTTGGTAAATGGTCCGGGGCCGGGGCTTGTGGCTGGGGGCCAAGCGAGAGCATAACCTTTAGTACGAGCGCTGCGGTAGGTAGCCGAAGTTATTGGTGACCGTATCGGATCGGGCCTGATAACAGGACACTAAAGGCCTCGTCTCACCGGTATCTCTCGGGGGTCCCATGGCTTTTAACGCGCCTATTCCCGGTTGCGCCCCCCCCCCCTTTCCCACCTGCCATTGGCCTGGATAGGCTAGCTTCTGTAGGGGATTTCGCAGGGCCATTGGGTCCCCGTGTTGCCACGCCGTTGCGGATGATCTCGCGTCCCCGGATACGTTTTCATTTATATTGCGATGCGGTAATATTACTCAGGCGTATCTGGCTTTGGTATGGTACTTACGGGGAGAAGGACATTAAACGAGTACCGGCACAATTCTTTTTTTCACCGAACGGAACGAGCCCTTATCAGAGAGGCCAAGCTCGTTTGTCGATGTCCGACGCAGCACGTTTTAAGCTCCCGTGATTGT